ATGTATGGTATAATTTACTCATAAAAAAGATAAGTAATACCCCATTCCTATTAAAAAATAACTAAAACATAAGCAAGTGTTAAAATAAATATGATTTATATAGCTATTTATTGATTCACTAACTAAAAAATGAGAAAACTTGCATGGGGTATAAAAATACCCCAACCTTCTTTAACGAAACAAAATTTTCAACTAACAATATTATTGTCAATTGATTAGTAAAATAGAAACATTTTACACTAACAACTTCATTAAATGATAATAAAAAATGTTCTGAAGTGGCAGTTTAAATAGACAAAATTTGTTGATATGGCAGCTAAAAATAAACTTTTCTGGGGTAGTAAAATACCCTGCCGTCCTATAAGGGTTAATTATAAATTTTAGTAACTTATTATTTTCCTAAGAATTAAATGTTTGCTAAAAAAAATAATCTTCCTACTTTTAAAGTTGTTCTTTTTGCATATTATGACATTTTTGTTTGAGTTTTATGGTTTATCGGAATTGCATTTTTAAATAAAATATATATTTTTGAAAAATAAAGATTTTCATATTGTTTATACAATGTTTGTTTTGCTACTGATCCAAATTTCTTATTTTGTCTATATCTAGTCTCTCTTATTTTGTCAATATCTAGTCTCTCTTATTTTGTCAATATCTATTCTCTCTTATTTTGTCTATATCTCTTAAAATCATTCAATTTTTTCAGAGATATATTATAACTAGTCTATTCTTAATTTTTATAGTATTGATTTTGTTGTAATTCATGCAGTTTTCTTATTCTCTAAAAACTTTTTCCATTCAATTATAATCTCTAATTTCAGGCGTCATTTCACATGTAAAAAACCGTAAAACTACATAAGAATTCCAGCATGTATTGCTGAACTTGAAATATGTTCATGCTTCATTCTTTTCAAAGTAGCAAGGAAAAACACAAGCAAAGTGGTAAGAAAATTTTATGTGGTTTGCAAACCACCTGTTTTCTAAATCTCAGTTTTATTGTTATGTGATTTGCAGTTTTATTGTTATGTGTTTTGCAGTTTCCACTAAAGACTGCTTTAAACATATTTCACATCAAAATACAAACAACAGCAAAACCTGCACAAACAACAGCTTCTGTGTTCTTCTGCATCAAAACACAAACAACAGCTTCTGTTCTTCTGCATCAAAGCACAAGCAAAACAAAACCTGCACAAACAACAGCTCCAGTGTTCTTTCCGGTATTCGCGCGTCTTGTGTCGACAACAATCAATACTATCTCTACAGGTTGAATTCCTCTAACACCTCCTTCTGCAATTGAGTTTTTTCATCGTTAAGCATGTACTTTTTAGAGTGCAAACTTTTTTTGCTTCATTATTAAGAATAACTATCAAGTATTCAAAAGCCTGAACTTTCTTACTTTGAAGTGTTTATTGACAAGAGCAAACTTAAATCATTTTAAGACAAACATTTCAAAAAAATATAGAATATTGTGTTAGTAATGCTTCAGTTAGAATTGAAATTAGTAAACACATTGAAGTGTTACATGTTAATGGGTTTACTAAAAGGTTAAGAGACTTCACTTCTCTAAATAAAACGTGCTCGTAATGCACATTTTCGTCTGAGCAGCTCAGTTTTAGATAACTTTGTGTTAAAGTTGTCGCCTTACAGAGAATCAGTGGTGTGTAATCACACACCACTAATACTTTGTGAGACAACAACCTTAGGCCTGAAGCACGCTGTATTACAATGTGTGTTAGGTTTTGCTTTTTTTTTTCTTGTTGATATCTTTTTTTTGTCGTTCTAATTTGTGCAATATTTGGTTTAGCCTATGAGATAACCAAGGTAGCTTTTGTTCATAGAAATTTTTATTTTTTGCACAATGTTTAGGCCGGGTGAATAAAAATGAGCAACTGCATTTACTCAGTAATTGATCAGCTTTACGTGAATAAAAACATCACTAATTTTGCTTAAGTTTTTGTTCACTAAAATTGAGCAATTATTGAGTAAATTGCTTTACTTTACATGAATTAAAATTTGAGCAAAACTGCTAAAGTTTTTATTCATGTAAGGTTGAGTAAAAGCAATTGCTCATTTTTATTCACCCGGCCTATTTACTTTTCGCCGAAGTCACAGTTCACACTATGCATCAAACTTTTAAAAAAAAATTTATGCAGCGTATATAGTCTTTCAGAGGTTTTGCTATTTAGCTTTAGTAGATAAGCGGTCATGCGGAAAGTTCACTAAAGAAAAATAAATTTACAATTATATATATATAAATCTCTAATTAGATAAATTTTTCATATATTCTATAATTCTGAAATTAAATTAATAGATACAAAATATGATATATAGAAATATAAATTTCAATTAAAACCATCGAATAATATAAAATCTTTTTATAATGAACTTTTGAAAAGCATATTTGTAAAGCAATAAATATTACTGACAAAAATATTGAATAGTTCAAACCTATCTACCTGCTTTGAACACCTCACTTCTATCACAGATCATTTCACAATGAGGAACATTGAAAGTTTTATAATTATCGGTCTTTTTCATTGTTCAGCCAGCCGTAGCACAGTTTTCTACGAAATTCTGTTAAATTGTATGCAATTTCTTGCAATTCATATATATATATATATATATATATATATATATATATATATATATATATATATATATATATATATATATATATATATATATATATATATTATATATATATATATATATATATATATATATATATATATATATATATATATATATAAACTTTGTTGCTTGGGTTCTTTTGATTTCATTATTTTTTTTTTTTTTAGTGAAGGTAATGTGAGTGGTATATTTTTTTGGTTGAAATGAAAAAAGATGTATTGAATTTTTTCTGTGTTTAATAATAATTTATTAGGTCGTTTAGTTTTTCAAGCTCAATGTTTGTACTTTTAAAATGTTCTGTAATAGATTTGGACGTATAAAATAAATTAGTATATATATATATATATATATATATATATATATATATATATATATATATATATATATATATATATATATATATATATATATATATATATATATATATATATATATATATACAAAAAATGTCTTAAGCTCATATAATAAAAGTAATTCAGGGCAATTTTTAAAGAAATGTATATAATATTATTGTACATTACATGTAATGAAATGAAATTAGGATTTGTAAAGTATTTTTCTAAAAATACTTTACAAATCCTAAAAGGAATTAGGAAAAAGGGTAGCCAATTAAGTACTATTAGTACTTAATTGGCTACCCTTTGTTTTTTATGACTTCTGCACATCTAGATGGCATACTATCTACAAGTCTTTTTAATAAGTTATTTTAAAGGATTCCAACCATCAAGAAAAATTTGAAACAGCAGTTCATTTTCTTTCTTTGTTTGTTGCCCTTTCTTTTTTTTGTCATCTTTATTTGTTGCCCTACAATCTTGCAATATTCTATCCAATATAGACCAAAGATTTTATATACTATATAGACCAAAGGTTTTCTATTGAATTTAAATCAGGAGATCAGGAGACTGTGCTGGCCAAGACATAATTGGTATCAATTTCTATTCCAAATATCTTTTATTCAACCGTGCCGTATGTTTGGGATCATTATCTTGTTGAAAGATGTAGTCATTATTATTAAAAAGTTCTTCTATACTTGGTCTATATAGATAAACTAAGATTTGTGATACAAATGCTGATCCATGGTAACCTCCACCCGGTAAAGCTTTCCAAATTTGAATACACTAAAACAACTCCACACATTAATCTTTTTGTTATGTTTAATGGTTGCCTTGCATGTTGGGGATTGAAATTTTTGAGATAGATCATTTCAATTTTTGAAATGATCTATCTCAAAAAAATTTTTTTTTGAGATAGATCATTTCAAAATGTTAGTCGTGTTACAAAATTTATAAGTCGTAATATATAAGCATAAGTCGTATTACATTTAAGTCGTACTAACAATATAAAACTAGGTTTCCGAAAGAAGATCATAAGGTTCTTATCATCGGAACCTTAAAAAGTAAAAATATTTATTTATATATATATATATATAGAAAATTTAACGTATTTACATTATGCAAAATACAACACATTTTAACATATAATAAGTTGAAGATTTAACAAATACATTTCACATACATTTTTAATAGAATTATTTAACAACACAAAAGGAGACTCATCGCTCCAAATAACTTTAGCCCATTGCTTATCATATAAGCAATAGGCTAAAGTTATTTCGTTAAGATGGTTAAGAGCACAAAGGGAATATGTCCAACATTTTACAAATTACGATGGTTAAGAGTACAAAGGGAATATTTCCAACATTTTATGGTTTTGAGTTATTGCGCAGATATAGTATTAAAGTATGTAAAAGAAATGAAAATAAAATAGTAAAAAACAAGACAAAATTAATTGAGGAATGCATGTGGTTAAAAATCATGACAATAAATAAATATCATGAATTATTGAATGTTTTCAAACTTTCAAATTCATATTTCTCAAAACAATGGTTAGTAGACGTATTACCTTTGTGCTCTTAACCATCGATATGTCCAATCTTTGTGCTCAATGCACCACTTTAATCTTTTTTTGCAATTGATTTCACAAACAAAGTTGTTTTTCATATGCTTTCCAGAAAAAATCCTCACCTGATGCTTTTATTCGACGAGATATTATCTATTTTGAGATATTAGAAAGGTTCAAATCTCAGAACATGTAATTTTACAATCATTTTGACTTTTTCAATTTTCTTATTTTCGTGTACAAAGTAAATGTACACGAAAAATAAAAATAAACTGTAGTTTAACTATGGTTTAAGAATATGTTTAAAATGTTCAAGGTTGAAGAAGGATTAGGAATATGTTTTTAAATAAAAAAATGTTTTTTTCAACCCTGCCTTAACACTAAAATAAAAAGGTACAAGGTACCTTTTTATAGAAAATCAATAGTTTCAAACTCAAATATATTATGTTGATTTTTACTTTTTTTTTTAG